GGCTAAAGACGCAGCATGGCCTTCTCCAATTTGAAGAGACACTTGTGCAGCAAGCTGAGGCAAAGAGGCAGTCCCGGAACCAGCGAAATCTGGGGGCTGGACAAGGGACAGATTGTATCTGCCCTCAGTGTGGAAGGGACTGCCATTCTCGAATTGGCCTTTTTAGCCACACCAGATGCTGCCTTAGGACCTCTTTACAGAGCACGATACCATAGTCTCTCGAAACTGAAGGATGCCAATGATGAGTGGGTATTGTTGAACTCATCTATTTTTGCTGCTAGGTACACTGTCAGCACAACTTAACAAATAGGATTAAAAAGAAATTGAAATTTCTTTCCACTCATCCTATAACTGCAATAAATCAGTTTGATATTTTCTGTGGCCTAATAGTACAGAAAATTTCTGTGGTCACTAGGAATCAAAAATAACTTGATGACACATCATCATCATCATTAAAAAAACACAGACTATGGAGTTTTAAAAAATAAAATAAAAATGACAATAGAAAAACATGGATCTTAAAAAGGAAATTTTTGAAGAATGTAATGAAAACCTTTCTCTCTCACAGATACACTCTCTCACACACACTCACATACATACAATGCAAGCTCAATTTTTAAGTGCTGAATATTGTAGTTGTTATTTGGGGATTGATTGCACCTCCAGGGATATTTTCTTGCTGTTTTGTTGAGATGGTCCCTGATGGATGACAGTTTCAGATTTACATTTGGTCTATAGAAACTTTACTACAGTAATATAAAAAAAATGGAAGAGTGATATGGTTGGGCTCATCTATGTATGATAATAGTATGAATGCCTATCATCAAAGGGTGATTTTTTTTTAAAAAAAAAAAAAGCATGAAAATCATCTACTCCAGCTTGTCGTGTATTATAATTGGAAGTATTTGTACTGCGCCTTGTGTTAATATTTTATACTAAAATTTTGCATCAAAATTTGCTTGTGCCATCTTTTGTTAAATTGTTTTTATTATATCAATGTATTTCCCCTGATTTTATAAGTAAACCATCTAGAGTTGCTGGAGTTGTGCAAAGTAAAATCAAATAAATAAACAAGCCATGGATATTGGTTGAAGGTGTTGTATGAACAGATTATTTAAACCATGGTGAAGCATATCATAATGTAATACCCAATGCATCTATGTGCTACTTTTCATATAGGTCTGTGTATGTTTCATTCAACTACCCTGTCACAACCAGCTTGAAAACAATGTAGAAACTCTCTTTAGCATTAGTGTTCCCATAATGTTGTTGAGGTTCAGCAGCTGAACTCTTAACCCTCAGTTCAGCAGCAGCACAAGATGATGGGCAAGGACTGTTCTGCAGGTTTAGCTGAAACCGTGAGCGTGGTTGCCTTGTCATTGCTGAAAATTCTTGCTTGCTTGTATCTCCCTGATGAAGGCAAGGTGACAGGCATCATTTCACCATCTTTCTCAAGAATAACTTTTCAGCCTTTTGTAAGATTGAAAGGATGGACTATTTTAAAAAAAATTGACTATTTTTAAAAAAATTGAAGCACATAGAGCACTGTGTATGACATAACTATTTCCCAATCCCATCCAGGATAAGGAGGAATGGATTTGAATGGGAGACGGTTTCAATTGTGTTTCATTACAAGGAGGGAGAGTCAAGGTGGGGAGGGGGGCACTGGAGAAAAAGAAACAGGGAAGCAATTATAGAACAATCTAAAAGCAGTTACTTCTCATTAACTTCTGCTGAGCTAGAACTAATTTTTCCTTGGTTTCATTAGGGAAAATTTATTGCTTTGGATCCTACTCTGAATTTCCATAGGTGGTGTTCTATTTCAAGGAAGAAATAATAACAGTTGCTGTTGTTATTTATTTATTAAACTTACATGCTGACTGATTCTCGGTGACTGAGTTAAAGAAATTACAAAAGAATCACTAAAACATAAAGACAGGGACATCGTTTCTGCAAATCACATTTCAGAATTGATGTTCATCAGTGAAATTTAATTTTTAAAATTATTGTGCTGTTTTCTAATAAATAATGGAAGTTAAAAACTTAAAAGGCTAGAACCAAACAGGAGCATCCCTAGAGTATCAGAAAAAAAGACTAAACCCCATTCTTTTTTTCATTTGCAAATCCCATTTTACATTCCCTACAGAGCCCCTTAGACCAAACAAGCAAAAAAGCATGCTTGACTTCATTTGCTCCAACCAATTTGATAGCCTGTAAGTCTATTTGCATTAGTATTTAAGGGTGTCAACAATTGTAAAATATTTTCAGTCTCATGTAGACTTTTTCTTGGTAAAGGATAACCTGGAGAAAGGAATGTGCTTACTAAGACTAGGGAAAGTGGATATGACTACATTGAATAGGAAGAAGCACAATGATAATTGTGATAAAATGCTAGGAAGTACATGTGGGTGTACTTAGCTTAAAGAACTTTTGTTTAACATAGTCCAGCTTCCTGGAAGTTTAAAATACGGTAGTATATTAAAAAGCTGTTTTTGGTTGTTGATTTGTAACTTTTGTGCCAGAAATAAATCAGTCCTTCCCATTATCTCATTCAGCTGAAATAAGGCCTAGGTCTGTGGTGGCGAACCTATGGCACACGTGCCACAAGTGGCACGCAGAGCCCATTCTGTGGGCACACGTGCCGTCACCCCAGTCCTAGGCCTTCAGCTGGGTTTCATAAAATCTTTTCGCTTTAGGCCTCCACCGCTGTGTGCAAAAAAAAAAAAAGGTTCAATCAATCAATCAATTTCAACTTCTTGCGGGGAAAAAAGATCTCGCAAAGTTGGAATTGATTGATTGAACTTTTTAGTCCCACCCAGTTTGCCATTACCACCGCAGCCATGCCCACCCAATGGGCCACGCCCACCCGGCACCTGATGATACGTAAGTGGGTTTTGGGTTGCAGTTTGGGCACTTGGTCTCTAACACGTTCGCCATCACTGGCCTAGGTCTACAGCAGACATGTCAAACTTGTGATGTCACATGATGTCACGCGACGTATTGGAACTTTTTCCCCATTGCCAGCAATGGGGTGGGCGCAGTTTCCTCATGACCTGTCTGGCCCACAGGCCGGCAGTTTGATACCCCTGATCTACAGTGTAAGCCTAGATCCCAGCCATGCTTAGTGAAAGTTGGATAATATTTAATTGATCTGCTTCATTTATATAGGTACTTATCAGCTGCTATGTTTGTCAACCTCTACAACATTAAGCTGTGTGGACTGCAACTCCCAGAATTCCTCTGCCTGCATGATTCTAGACACTGGTCTAGAATCAGATAAATTAATCTGCCCTGTAAGTTCAGCAAGCTAGGTTCAAATTACATTATCTTAGAGAATGGGTGCCATATTATGGGAAGAATCCAGAGAGGGAAATATTTTGGGAAAAATTGAAGGGGCAGAATATATTTCCCCAAGGGATTTTGAGGGTGGAGGCCAACCCCACCACCCCAGGTCTCTCTGTCCCAAACAGAAACCAGGTCTGCAGAAATGAAGATCTGATAATCTTGTCAGAAAGATTGGAGCCAGGAAGCTTGGATTAGAAAAAAAGATCCTTACAATCAACAATCCCTCACATCAAAAATCCAACAGTCATCAGTCACAGACCCAGGGAAGTAGGATATGACCTTTGGGACATAATAGGATTAACCCACCACCATCAGAATACCAGAAAGGCACACTCAGACTCAGGTCAAAGTTCATACCACAGGAACAACTCCAAACAAAAGCTCAAGAAAGTATAAAAGCCCACCACTCTCTGCTACACGTGGTCAGTTTTCCCAGAGCCATCTTTCTGTCTGGCTCTCCTCTTCAATAAACTACAACCTTGTTTCTAAAGCAGTCTCCATTTTATTATTCCCAGCTTGGACTGGACCCTGGTGAATATTTTAGTAAAGCACAACAGTTTTCATTAGCTGTTGTACTTTTAAGTTTTAACAACGTGTACAAATTTTACAAAACATGCCACAAAATAAAAAAGACACATTTTAAAAAAGAAAGTAATTATAAACTAAACAAAAAAGCAATTAAAAAGGCGTTTCAAAATATACATATCATGGGTCCATTAAATATTAAACAGCATTTAAAAATTTCTAAGTTTAAATGAAAGAATAAATAATACTCTTTTGCTGCAAAGGCCGTGAAATCTGTGCCAAAGGGAAATATTGCAAAACATCTCTACGATTTGTAAGAATACGCATGTCGCCTTCCTCGGTAGGGACTGGGAACCTCCGAAAGCTCATGTGATTTAGACACTTCTCTTTTTTTGTCTATGTATCTTATCGTTGAAGGCGTTTTGGTGCAAGAGCGAGCCGCCGGCCTTGCGTAAAAGCGGCTTCAAATCAATACTTTTGCGTATATCTCCAAGCAGCGAGAGTGCCCCTACCGGGCCATTTGCAAACAAAGCCCGCGGGAGCCCATCGGGTCACAGGTCGCAGACCAAAATCGTTGTCAGCCGAGTCAGTGAAGGGAAGAAGTGCGGAATGTGCGCGGGCTACTCGGGGAGTAACGCGGGCTTACAGCCCCCAGGCCGCGCGCTGCCTTATCTGTGACTCTGTTCACAAGGAAACCTCACTGAACTAAACGAGACTCATATTGAGATGTGTATGTTGGCGAAGCAGCCGGAAACCGTAGGGAAAGGTGCGGGCAGAGTAGCGCGCTTCCCGGAGACTTGGAAGGGACGCCCTCCCCCAGCGGGGTCCCCGCAGTATCTCCTTTCGGAGGGTTTGAAGTTGGAACTTGGGAACTTGGGAACTTGGGAACTTTCTGACGTTCCCAATAGGGTCCGTCCGACTTCCTACGCTCTGCAACTAAAGCGAAACAAAGCGGGAGGTCGGGAGCGCCTAAGAAAAGTCCCCCAAAAGACCCGAACTGGAACCCGCACCTGCTTCTCTGGAGTAGCCGTTACGTAGTCGAGGAAAGAGGGAGGGGAAAGCTACGTATCCTCAGCACTTCGGAGCGTAGGGCAGGCTTATAAAAACTGCAGCTCCCGCTCTTTCCATAGGGGCTGATGGAAAAAGGGAGAATAGAAGCGAGCGCGGGATCCGTATTGCTGCTGCGATTTCTTCGGCCAGCAAACGGAGGCGCAGCGCGAACTCCAGGCTAAGTGGTGCGGACACTTCGGCAGTCTGAGCAGACAATGGGGCTTCAGTCCGAAAACAGCAAAGCCCCGGCAACCGATGATAAGCCTCCGCGGTTGAACACCTGTCGCGGCAAGGTCTTCTGTAACATTAAGGTAAGAAGGAGTGCCTTCGCTCAGAGAGAAAGAGTGGGAAGCGGTTGGGAAGGAACGCTGGCTTCGTTCTCAGAGGACGGGCGCCGTTTCCTCCTAAGGACAGGACGGGGTCGAGATGTTCTCGCTGCCGTTCGCCCCTCTCAGCCCAGCCCTTCTTGCCTCTTGCTTGGCTCATTTGGCCTCATCCGAGCCCACTTTAAAGTTCATTTCAAAATGGGCAAGTTTTCAATTGTGAAAATATTAATAGACAAAATCCACCATTATTTAATTCAGATTTCCAACCTATTAATGGGTTTCTTGGAAGCTGTACACAGCCCTTGAACTGAGTACAGTATTCAAGACTATGGTCCTCTCTGTGCACTTATTTCCTCATTGATTTGCCACATTTAAAAGGCCCCCTGACGCCATAAAAACTCTGAGTGACACATAGCATTAAAAACAATAAATAACAATATAAACAGTGAGAAGATCAATGCATGGCTAGAAAAAAAAAGTTCAAACATACAAAATCTTATACTGTAGGCTTTTTAAACATCCAGGCTCAAACCCTGGAGAAAAAAGAGTTTAAAGTCTTTCAGGAGAGGGCTTTGTGGGAGATGCTGTTCTAGAGGTCACATTCTGTGAAAGAGGAATAAGATTCCTGATTTACTGGGAAGTAAATTGATAGGAAGTGCCTAAGATTATAAAGCTTTCATAACAAGAGTTAGAACATTCTATGCAAATTATATAGGAAGGTTATGAAATCAATAACTGGTATTCATTTCTGAATAACAATGTATTACTCTGTATATATGTGCTATAATTATCATTTTTGCAATGTACTGAAACATACGCTGTATATTGCAAAAAAAACAAAATTCTTTAAAACCAAAATTCTTTACTTGCCCAAACCTATATGCTTTTGCTGTGATTCACAGTTTAATTAAGCTGGAGTATTAGGTGACACATCAAATTGGGGTTGCCTCTCAGTGAAGCATTTAAACAAATGCTTACCTCTTTGACCTATCTTCAGTACTAAGGACTACAAATGTCCTGTAAGTTGTCGTCCCCCATTTTCCTTTTTTCTTGTTGACCCCCATTTTTCCTTTTTTATTTTATGTTCATAATCTGTTTGCATCTTATATCCAAATGGTCTAATTTTCTGCTCACTAGTCACTACCTGAGGGGAACAGTCAGCTTTTACTTGTCCCAGGATTGATTATTTAGTTCTTCTTGCAGTCTGTTCTTATATGAACCATCTCTAGAAGGTGTTTAACTTTTTTCTATGACTTTTACTTAATGCCAGGCTTTCATAATTGGATATTGTCACTAGAAAATAATTGCTTTAGCTTTTTTTTTTAATGTTTGGGGACATCCTTCATGACGTTGCTTAAATCTGTCATTGACATCCTTTCCAGAATATCTCTTCTTCTCTGGCAGGCTGTTCACCTTTATCTACTTCTAAGCCCAAGAAAATAAAATTATCCACCAACTTTACTTTTTCTCGTCCACTGTATATCCACTAAGCATTAGTGTTTCCTAATAGTTTAACACAAAATCAGGTATTGCTTTCCTCACTTTTGCTTTCACAATGAGCTCTTTAAGATGACCTCTTCTTTTGGCAAACAAACCTAGGGTTATCAGCATAGCTTAAATTGCTTAAAAATGGTTGGAAATGATTTTTGTCTTGCTTTGCTATTCTGAACCCTTTTAAATTCTGTTCTTACAGTATTTTCTTATACATAAGGTCTTTCCAAAAATTATTACATATTCTGACACCCTTTAGCTTATTCTGATATAAATTATAAGCTTTGCTGTAGTTAATAAAGCAAAGATAACTCATCTTTTTGTATTACTTTATAAACTAGAATAGACCATCTTTATATTAGCTATTTGTTCTTGGGTCCCTCTGCTTTTTCTGAACCTGCATATTTACAGTATTTGGGATTTCTCTGTCCCTATAGGGCTTCTTTCAGACACGTGTTTGCATGAGAAATTAGTATAGTAATTCAGTAATTTGCACATTCTCTGCCATACATATAAACACTCATCTTTTTCTGTCTCTAGGCCATATAATGTCTGTGTTGAAAGAAACAGTAGCCATTTATCATCTTACCTTGTAGCTTTAAACCATTTTAAAGTATACTTTAAATCATGCTTTCCTACCTGACTATTATTGTGCTTCACTTTTGGGAGAATATTTTCTTTCTGTCATCCTATAATACTGTCCATAAACAGTCCATAAACAGCTTGATTTCTTTGATCACATTTTTCTCTGATGGTTTCTTCTGCAATTATTCTTGAGTATTCCTAACTAAAATGCATGTTTTCTGTGATTTCTCCAGTATTCTTATCTTAAAAGTATTGGTCATTTTATTTTCTCCATTAACTGACATTTTTATTTTTATTATTTTTGTGTTTTATAGCTTGATACCAAAAGCTATATTCAGAGGTATATTCAGTTAATATATACAGTTTTATTTGCCCAAGGCAATTAGGATAAATTGTTCTGAAAGTACTGGAATCTTTTCATCTTGAGAATATTGTTTTTCCACTTTAGTTTTTTCATGTGTCTCGTTCTTCTCATAGATCATCAGCTTTAGTTTCCTATAAGTGAAGTGTGCTTAATATTTCACCTTCTGAATGAGACTGCATTGACATGTCAGGTGATCACAGAGAAGAGGGGATCAACCTATTCTTCAAAGTACCTGAGGGCAGGACTGAAAGTATGGAAAATTATCAAAGAGAGATCCAATCTACAATTAAGAAGAATTTTTCTGACAGCAAGAAAAATCTGTGGAACGGTTTGCCTCTAGAAGTTGTGGGTGGTCCATCACTGGAGGTTTTAAGAAAGGATTGGACAGCCAGTTGTCCACAAACATTATAGGGTATTTTGCTTGAGCAGGAGTTTGGACTAGAAGACCTCCAAGGGCCTTTTCAATTCTGCTATTCCATACTCAGTATTATATTTTGATTGTATGTCCTCTAGATCAGAGGTCCCCAACCCCTGGTCCGTGGACCAGTACCAGGCCGCGGCATGCCACCAGCCAGTCCACACAAACAAGGAATGCCCCATCCACAGGATGCAAGCAGCACACAAAATTGTACCCCCTCCGGTTCGCGGAAAAACCTTTCTCTACGTAACCATCCCTGGTGCCCAAAAACGTTGGGGAACCCTGCTCTAAATCTCATTTTATTGGCATACTTACTGTTTTAGCTTTCTACATTTAACTGATATATTCATTATGGTCTATTCCACAATCTGCCTCTAGTAATATCCTGGATGACTGCAGTGCATTTCTCTATCTTTTGTTTTCTTTTATGTAATCTACTTGATTCTGATATGGCATGTATTCAGTAATACTCAGGAATAGAATTATTGACACTCTTGAAGATGTTGCCAATAGAATTATCTTCTATTTACATATTTATACATTATTGGATTTATTCAGTCCAATTATTTCAATTGTTTCAAGTTCTCCCATTTCACCCATTTGCCTTAAAATCACCAGTTAGTAATATCAGTGCCTTTTCTTTATAGTGTGTCTAGGAACTCTTGCAATTAGCCACATAATTCCTCAAAATTTTCTTCTATCAGGTGTATCATAAAACTGGTTGGTCATTCATTCATTCATTCATTCATATCCCACCTTTATTATTTTTTACTAATAACTCATGGTGGTTATTGGGTTATGACCAAGTATCTTGTTTGATTGTTGCCACTTTGTTCTTTCATATGGTTTCATGGCTGAATCATTTAATCATGTGAGTTAGAGTGGCAAATTCTGATCTACTTATCTTTACCTTTCCCTTCTTTATTTGACAGCATAACTTTTTTCTTGCTCATGCTTCTTAAATTTCTTGCTTTGATTTTAAGTTTCCTTGTAAAACTACTTGCATGATCAGTGACCAGATTTTCTTAAAGCTGTGTATGTCAGCATTTCTAGACCTATTTTTGGAAGCTCAGAGTTTTTTTCCCAATAACAGATGAGTTCTTCTGTCCTAGGGTCTCATCACCTGACATCTCAACCCAGCCACATCAAAAAAGTTTTATTGGCAGAAACACAGAAGTGTTTTCTTCCAGTTTGGAAGAAATTTTGGAATGCCTTAGTAGGTTTGTTTCAATTATTAATGCAGAATCCCATTTACTGTCATCACCATTGTGGATTAATTTTAGTTTGGCCCCTCCTGGTTTAGCTTTAACAGAAAGGATTTCCCTACAGAGAGCTCCTGCTTGTTTTTCTCAGTGATGTGATTGATGTGATTAAGTCAGTATCAATTCTTAGTAACCAATACTTCTTAAGAAACATCTATCCCGAACCTGGCCATTCAAGTCCTCCATGGATGCACTTATTGCTGTAAACCAGTGCATCTGTCTTGCTATTGATCATCCTTCATCTTCTCTTTCCTTCTATCTTTTCCAGCATTACAGATTTTCAAGATCTTTACATAATATATCCAAAATATGATAATTTTAAACTGGTTGTTTGTACCTCATATGACAATTCTGAATTGATTAGTTCTATACTCAGTTTATTTTCTTGGCTATCCATGCTATAGTCATAAAAGTTTTTTCTAACACCAACATTCCAAAATATAAATAATTTTTCAATCCTGCTTCATCAGTGACCAAGGGTCAGTTCTATAGAATATCCCAGGAAAATAATTTCCTGCACAATTCTGATATTTGCAGATATTGACAAATCCCCACATTTGAATATATTTCCCAATATCTTAATTGCCGCTCTATTAAGTGGTATTCTGCATGTATTTTTGACTGCAGATTCATTTGTAATGGATTGTCAATCCTAAAAATCAGATGTTATGTACCACTTCAGCATTTCACTGTCAGTGTTAAGGCTGGCTGTTATACCTGTTTTCATTAATTTGTCCTTTTATGTAATCATAGTCCCATTTTTAATTGTGCTCATGACTTTCTTGATTAGAGTTTGCACATAATTTGCATTTTCATTAGTCAGAGTAGCATCATTAGTATGTGCAGATTATTAATCTTTCTTCTT